AGATTGCTCTAGGTATCATAGCTTTTTCTGTGGCTGCTAGGCAGGCATTGATAATTATGTACATCATGGATCAGGCTGGACCTTTTCCAAACAGCTACCATTCCTATTTAAAAGCAATTCCTAATTCATTAGTCAAATGACTGCATCTATTTGTGAAAAAAAAATCTGGCATTTGACTAAACTTGAATCTGTGGGGCAGTTTTTCAAAACTGAATCTTACAAACTATTCTTCATGCTTCTAAGGCATGTTCCTGTTATAGAGGGGTTGATGGTTTTGGAGGAAGCAGACTTGAAGAACATCTAAGCTAATCAACAAAGAAACTATTTTATTATCTTCACAGCATTTAAAAATTTGGCTGCCTAGCCCTTGGCTGGGATGACTGAAGGCTGGTGGCACTGTTATTTGACATCTAGGGAGATGCGGTTGATTCTTAGGCCACTTAGCTCCAGTAAGGTTCAATTTAAATTGTGAAACAATGAGGAAATGCAAAAGTTCCAATTAACAGCATAATCCCCACATAATATGCTCCTGAAATATGTTTTCCATGACTGAATCTCTGCTGAAGTGCACACATGGGGCAGAATATCAGGAAAGAGCTTAGGCTTGGCATTCACTTTCATTTTCTTTTTTTTCTTATGGGGATGGGTGTATTTCTGTTGAGATTATTTATGTTAAATTAAATGATAATTTATTAAATACTAGGAATGAGTTGCTTGATAATTTAAATTATAACTCAGTAAAACAATCTCTTTAACTCCTTTCCTTATTTAATATGAAAAATGTAGAACCTGATCTTTGGTATGAATTGTCTCTTTTTCAAAATAGAAATAATTTCGTTGAATGCTAAAAGGTAAAGTTGGCATCTTATTTTGTTCTATGACTTGTAATCCTCTACTATCAGTTATTTTGATCTTCAGTTTGTTCTAGATTTGACCATTTGAAAAAAATATGTATATGATGATAGAGACAAATATATAGAGAGATCACTGAGTCTCAACCACGGGAGATTTTGCCACCCATAGAACATTTGGCAGTGTCTCATGATATTTTTGGTTTTCACAGTGCAGGGGCAGGTGGAGGGGTGGTGGGCGGTTCCTACTAGCATCAAGTGGCTTGAGGCTATGGATGCTGCTAAACATTTACAGGGTATTAGACCTATCTAATATAGATATTTAGAATTAACTGGCCCAAAACATCAGCAGCACCAAGGTTCAGGAATTCCGGTGTGTACAGATATATGGGGGAATGATAAAGTAAACATGGTAAAATATTGACATCACAGTAAAGGGTATACAGGAATTTTCATGCTGTTTTGTAACTTTTCTGGAAGTCTGAAATTATTTCAAAAAATTTTTTTAAAGTTTTAAATAGTACAGTTGGCAGTTTTGGTCGTAATACCCCTATCTGCAATTTAGAGGTAGAAAAGTGTCCCTTGTTGGAAATATAAACTCAGCTCAGTCATTGTCCATGACCTTTGGGTGCATAGTCTTCAGGGGCAGGAAGGGAAGTTAGTAGAGGTCCCAAGTGCCCACATGGCCCATGTCTGCATCTGCTCACTCCTATGTGAGAATGCACGTGCTCCCTGTCAAGGCCATGTGTAGCCAGAGTACTGATGTTCTGCTTAAGCTGCCCTTCAGAACCTGAAGTTGGAAGCAACTGATGCATCTTGTCGGCAGGCTGCATTATGATATATATATATCTTACCAAGGAATTGTTCTTAGGTATTTTTTTACGAGTTTATACCCTGGTTCCTCAATAATATTGTGAACTCCTCTGGATCAGGAACCCTGCCTTTTACTATATGTGTGTGTAATGCAGTGGCTAAGAAGAGTTTAGGCTCTGGAGACTTACTACTTCACCTCTTACTGGGTATGCGACCTTGATCATGCTATGGAACTTGTTTGTGCCTCAATTCTCTCACTGTTGAGTGGAGAGAAAAACAACATTACCTTGTAGAGTCTAAATATCTTAATACATATAAATTGACACAACAGTGGCACATATTAATACCTAAATAAAAGTTAGTATTCATCCATTCGTTTATTCATTCATTCAATATTATTAGTGTTATTTCTGCCCTCCCCACAATCCTGTACAGTGTTCCCTAACCTTTGTATTAGAGAGCTATAATTGATGTGTCCTAGGCATCCAAGTGTTTCTTATAGCCTTGCCTCTGGATCTTGCTGTTTCTATTGCATTGTTTAACTCACATTCTTTTTGAGAATCTCCATGCTCTGTAGCAGGCACACTGATTGGAACTCTTTAATCTTCTATGTCTCTGTCCCTCTCTCAGCTCATCCCATCCTATCCAACTCTCTTCTTCCATTCATTTAGTATTTCCAATGAGTCATACACTGTCCTAAGGTTTTTTATTATTTTGTTTGTTTCTCATAAAAACTCAGTATGAGATGGAGGCCATTATTCTCCTCATTTTACAATTAAGGAAACTGAGGCTTAGGGAGGTTAACTGATTTTGACTGAGACTACAGAATTAGGAAGCAGTATGTTTTTTTCTCCACTTTTCCAGTGGCAATGTGCTTTGAGTGGGGGAGAGCCCTGCCGTCTAACTGAAGGTAGATGATAGCTCAAGGAGTTGATCCTGTCTTCTGTTTCACTTCCTTGAAAATCAAGAAGCTAGAGGAGTCATGCATAGATGTGCATTTAGCATTTTTCATGTGCCCAGGGGCTGTGCTAGATGCTGGGGACATAAATATAGAATCAGTGTCCTTAGTTTGTTTAGTGTCTCATTATCTTTTTCTATGTAACAAAACATACCAAAACTTAGTGGATTAAAGCAATGATTTGTTGTTTCCCATGATTCTGTGGGTTTACCTGGACTCACTAGACAGTTCTTGTGCTCCATGTAATATTGTTTAGAGTTGCTCATGTGGTTGCATTTAGGTGGGAGCTTGGGTAGGGTGTCCAAGATGACCTCCCTTACATGTCCTGCAGTTGGTGCTGGCTATTGGCTATGAGCCTCTGTTTTTCTCCTGTGGCCTTTCATGCTCCGCAGCCTCTCAACATATGATATCTCCAATAGGATAGCCTAGTCGTCTTTACATGGCTGTTGGCTTCCAATAGAGTAAAAATGGAAACTGCTTTTTAAGGTCTAGTTATAGAAGTCACATAGTATCACTTCTGCTACATTCTATGGGCCAAAGCAAGTTCCAGGGCTAGCTCAGATTCAGGGGGTGGAGGAAGAGACTCCACCTCTTGATGTGAGAAAGGCAGAGATGGGAGGGTTTGCTCTAGCCATTTTAAACAACAATCTATTACACTCACTGTCCATCTAGCTCTTTAACCAGAAGTTTTAGAGCTAGAAGTCTCTATCATCTGGTTCAACCCCTGCTAGAGTCTACATGCTTATATTTCCCTCAGATTCATGTGTTGAAATCTAATCACCAATGTGATGGTATTATGAGATGGAGCCTTGTGGGAGGTGATTAGGTGCCCTCATGAATGGGATTAGTGCCCTTATAAAATAGAACTAAGAAAAGCTGTCTTCTACAATGTAAGGACACAGTAAGAAGGTGCCATCTATGAACCAGAAAATAGGTCCTCACCAGGCACCGAATCTGCTGGTGTCTTGATCTTGGAGTTCTAAGCTTCTAGAACTGTGAGAAGTAAATTTCTGTTGTTTATAAGCTACCAAGTCTACGATATTTTGTTATAGCAGCCATCATGAGCTATGATAACCCTAGTTTCATGGATGCAAAAACTGAGACCTGGGAGGTCAAGCCCCTGCCCTAGGCCAGCACACTTAGTGGAGGAGCCAGGCTTAGAACCTGGGCTTCCCTAGTTGGTGCCATCACCTGCACATGTTGATGTGTGCTTTGCTTTTCTTCCAGCAGAGGATGCCTCTTTGCTGAGTTCTTCTCTGACTCAAGGCTGTCCCTATTAAGTATGGAGCACACAGGGGGACAGGAGAAGGAAAGGGTCTGTTTTGCTGCCTTCTGTTTCTATGCCTGGTAACTGCCTGGGCTAGGCTCCAGAGGTCTTTAATTAGGGATTTGGCCTCATTGACCAGCATTGACCAGGCATGCCTCCCTCATTATTGCCTCTTATATATATTCTGAATATCAAATGATGTTGAGTTTTACTACATGCATAAAAAGTGGCTGCTCAAACCCCAACAGATGTTATAAAATAGAATCTAACACATTTATGTAACATTTTAGAGTAACCTATTATACTATAGTACGTTTTTCTAAAATCCACAGACAACTACTGCAATATGAAATATGTTGCTTATTTTGAAATGGAACAAGTGAGTTATAAATTACTAATTTCCTTCAGTATAACCACAAACATGAAAATAATTAAGAGGTTTTATTTTCCCAGATCATTAGAATCCAGTTTTAGATTATCCCAAACCTACTTGGTAGAAGGCAGGTATTTGTTTTGTATTAAAGACAATATTTATTATCAAATACTGTTCTGAGATTCCCCAACCCTTGTGGGGGACATCTGACTCTTATTGAGGATTAAGATAAATGAGGAGTGAAATTCTTAGGTTTATGACTTATTGAAGACCATAAATTTCCAAAGAACTAGTTGAGATGCTCTCCAGGCAACAAATATTCACTTGATTTCTACTGTATTGATTAAATTATAGATTGAATGAAACTCTTCTTTCATTGTAATAGCATTTACTGTTTTTATAGATTTGGAAAAGACATAAACATAGAAAAGAGAAAATATCGATCACTCATAATCTCATCTTTTAGTCAAAATTACTGTTAACATTTTTAGTATATATTCTTCCTATCAGAGATATAACAATAGATATAGGGATTGAAATGGAAAGAGAAATATAGATATATAGATAGATAGATATTTTTGTTTTAAAAAATGGGATTATACTGTAAAAAATAATCTTGCAACCAGATTTTTTGGTTTTGGTTTTGTTTTGCCTAAATGTAGCAAGAACATTTTTCCATGTCGTTAAGTATTCTTTTAGCATATAAGGAAAGTAAATCTTTCTCTCTTGTTTTGACAGGACAGTGATATCGAAGCATTGGCCAGGTGTTTGGAAAACGTCCTGGGCTGTACCTCTCTAGGTGAGTAAGTTTCTTTAGACTCCAAAATATAGTGATAGCCAATGACTATTGGAATATCCAGGAAGTAGAAATCTTGGAAGGAATCTTATAGATATTTCAATCTAGCCTTCTAGTTTTACAAATGAGGAAAGTGAGGCCAAGAAGAAGTTGAGTGTCTGGCCCAATAGCCAGGAAACTCAAAGATGAATTGCTTATTATTATTGTAAGTGACTCTCAGTCTCCAAGGATGAAATAATTGAAATTTGGTTTTTCTTTGTGATCAAATGGTAGCCTGGCAGTGCAAAATAACAGATTTTACAGTCTCTGAAAAAGAAATCTCCTACCTCACTTGTCCTATAGAAGCAGATTGCATTCAGTCAAGCTGAAAGGACCATCATTCTGAAGGTTAGTCAGTTATTCGAAGAGATTTGGTCTGAAAAACAAAGCTGAAATTTCTTTAGCATTGTCAGTTGCAATAAATGGGATTGCTGTGCTTCAAGGATAAAACCCTGTTTCTTAGATTCTTCTATTTTTTTTAATCTGAGAAGCCCAACAGTGAAAACTTCTAGTACTAGCTGATAAACAGTCACACAGAATATTCTTGCATGTCCTAGATGCAAAGGGATGAGATTTTTTTCTTTTAATCTTGATTGTGAGTTTTTATTTTTAAAATTTTCACTACACAACCAAAAGTAATCTCTTCACAGGGAATGGCAGGAATAAAGATAAGCAATTATGTTTTCAAGTGGGCAAGCATTCAGTATTTCATTAGGAGCTCTATGCACAATTTATAGCCTTTTTCTAGCTTATTCCACATCTCCATGTGGGAAGCCTCAGTCATAACATAACTCTTTGATTTTTTTCTCCTCTCACCCTATGATCTGTTTAATTGCATAATAGTAACATTTATTAAAGTACATATAAGTCACAAGTAAAGACTTGAAGACCAGAAAGGCTTTCCTATGACTAAGTCACTATCCCTCTCTGGACCTCAGTTAAATTACATCAGTAATTTTCAAACTAGGTTCCTTAGAAACCTCCAGGATTGGGCAAGGGGGGTTGTGCTGAGTAGCGTGGGGACAGAAGCTGTGTTTGTGCTGCTTATCTCTATCTTCCCAGAGTCTAACACTGTGACTGGTACAGAAGAGGCCCTTAACAAATATTTTTAAGAGAAATGACATGTAGACTCTGCTCCTTTACCAGCTTCAACAAAAATAGTTTCATTCTTATCTGCTTTATAAATTAGATTTATACCCAAGATTATGTCTTGAAAAAGATAGATTCTACTGCAAAAAACCCTTTTTTTAAATTTAAATAACACTGAATTAGATAGGTAACAGACAACTTACAGAATGGGAGAAAATTTTTGCATCCTACGCATCCGATAAGGGGCTGATAACTAGAATATACTTAGAACTCACAAAAATCAGCAAGAAAAAATCAAATAACCCTATTAAAAAGTGGGTAAAGGACTTGAACAGAAACTTTTCTAAAGAAGACAGAAGAATGGCCAACAAACATATGAAAAAATGCTCAACATCTCTAATCATCAGGGAAATGCAAATCAAAACCACAATGAGATATCACTTAACTCCAGTGAGAATGCCCTTTATCAAAAAGTCTCCAAATAACAAATGCTGGCGTGGATGCGGAGAGAGAGGAACACTCCTACACTGCTGGTGGGACTGCAAACTAGTTCAACCTCTGTGGAAAGCAATATGGAGATACCTTAAAGCAATACAAGTGCATCTACCATTTGATCCAGCAATCCCATTGCTGGGCATCTACCCAAAAGATCCAATGACACTCTACAAAAAAGACACCTGCACTCAAATGTTTATAGCAGCACAATTCATAATTGCAAGGCTGTGGAAACAGCCCAAGTGCCCATCAATCCAAGAATGGATTAATAAAATGTGGTATATGTATACCATGGAGTACTATTCAGCTCTAAGAAACAACGGTGATATAGCAGATCTTATATTTTCCTGGTTAGAGCTGGAACCCATACTACTAAGTGAAGTATCCCAAGAATGGAAAAACAAGCACCACATATACTCACCAGCAAACTGGTATTAACTGAGCAGCACCTAAGTGTACACATAGGTACTACAGTAATAGGGTATTGGGCAGGGGGGAGGGAGGCAGGTATATACATACATAATGAGTGAGATGTGCACCATCTGGGGGATGTTCATGCTGGAAACTCAGACTTGGGGGGTAGAGGGGGAAAGGGCATTTATTGAAACCTTAAAATCTGTATCCCCATAATATGCTGAAATAAAAAAAATTTAAATAACACTGAATTAGATAGGTGATATCTAAATTCTCTTCCAGACTGTATGATTTTTTTTTTAGAAATAAGCATTAGAATCATAAAGTAAAAGTACACACTTATCTCTGTTTGAATCTCTACCGAAGTACCAAAAAAGGAATAAAGTTGATATGAACCTATAGGAAAAAAAGGGAACAGAAGAGGAGATGGGAGCAGATGAGAGCTTTAGTGAACTTGAGAAGGTAGAACGCAGATAGATGAGCAATAACTGATTTAGAAAACAGAGAAAGCTGAAAACTAGGTGCCTAAGGTGCAAGTGGGAAGGAAGGGAAAGTAAGTGGTAGGCTAGGAGAAGCAAGCCAACTGAACCCACAGACTCTCATAGGGGCCCAGGATTTGGAGGTCTCAATTACCTCGGAAGGCAGGACGTGGGTAAAGATAAAAATAGGATTTGTGGGCAGTATGAATTAGAAGCAATAGACCCCAAATCCTTTCCGCTCTACTGGCACAGAATGTAGAGAAATTCCTCTCTAAAGTCAAGACAGAGGACAGTACATTTGATTTTGGGGACACTGAATCAGGGAGGCTCTGGATTTGGGGGCACCAGGGACACCAAAGGGAAGGGCAATGTGATGTGATGAAAACAGAGGGATGAAGTGAAAGTCTGCATGTTGAATGATGAAATCCCCAGGCACCATCCCTACTTGGCTTCTGAAACACTGGCTAACAGCATGGGCCCCCTTCAGGTCCAGAAAAGCATGGGCTTTTGAGAAGATATCTCTTTGAAAAGCATGGGGTTTTGAGAAGATATCTCCTTGAAAGAATTTACCAGCCTGAGAATCCTAATATTAACATTCTCCCAACAAAATGGTGGGAATGAGCCCTACCAATCCATAATCCCTGAATCCACAGAAAGATCTTAAATTGACTTTTAATGTTTCACACTTAAATACAAATATATAGCCAGGTGGCAGAAAATGTCTGAGGAAATATAACAAAGAAGAGAGAAATAAAAACAAAAACAAAGGACTCAGGAAACAGATAATGTAGGAAAGAAAATAAAAGTTCAAAAAATTATTATTAAAATCCTAAAAGATATTACCTCCAAGAAAGAAATAAACAAAAAGAAATATACCCTGAATAAGAAAGACCTCTTAAAATTATAATTGTAACAGCAGAAATAAAAAATTTAGTAGAAGATTTATTTGGGAGATAAAATTGAGGCAAATGTCCAGAATAGAATTAATAAATGATAAGAAACAAAATTGATCAATACAGGTGGTTCAGCATCTAACTAATAGAAATTCTAGGAAAAAAGAACTGGAAAAGAGAAATTTATCAAAGAAATAAGAAAAATATCTAGAGAAAATAAAACAGATCACTTATAAAGTATCAGGTAAAAGATTGGTGATTTATTTTTCAACAATACTTGAAAGCTAAAAAACAATAAAGTTTGAACATAGAATTGTTTATCTACCCAAACCACCAGTCAAGTGTGGGAGAGGATCAAAGACATTTGCAGGCATGCAGCTTCAAAAATAAGATCTCAAAAATATCTACCTCCCATGACTTTTCTTAGGAACTTTCTAGAGGATATGTACCATCAGAAGATAGGATTAAATCAAGAAAGAGGAAGACATGGACTTTAGGTAATAGGGGATCCAACACAGGAGAGAAGTTAAGGGGATTCCCAGAATTATAGTAAGGAAAGGTCCCTGGATGATACCTGGGCAACAGGGCTGTAGAATAATCCATTTAGACTGCAATGAGTCAGAGAGTTCCAAAGAATGAGTATCTCCTATGGAATAATTGAATTAATGGATAACCCATTTGGATTTGACCAGAATGAGAGGAGTTTTCAGTTCCTTTGGAGAGTTTAGGAATGAATTAGAGAAAAGCAATCAGAAAACTAAGCAAAGTAAAAAATTCAAAGTAATTATTAACTCCTGGAAAAACAAAAAGTTATAAAAGAAAGAAAATGTAATCTGCATACATTAAGGGCTTAGTTATGTACAATATGTACAGAGTCATAATCATTTAAACATTCAATTATCTAAAAATAACTATAGTGGAAAGATGGACAGTGGGAAAATATTTAAGAGAGTGTGTGTGTGTGTGTGTGTGTGTGTGTATTTAACAGAGAGGAAAAAAAGAACAAATTCACAATCTCCATACATAGTAGAAAATCCATAGTCTAAAATAAAAAATGGTTTTATAAACATGTCATATAGAAAGACAAAGATAAATACCAAAAAAAAAAAAGAAGAAGAAGAAGTAAAGAATTGAATATGTTTGCCATTGGAAAGTGTAACTTAGAGGTAAGATATGGATCTGATTTTTTGTAATTGTAAGGTTTGACTTTAAACAGTACTAGGTACATGAATTCTTAGAAGTCAATTTTTAATGAGATGAGCATTGGAAAGCAAAGAGCCCAATTACTTCATTACTTTATTGGGCCTACTATCAAGGCAGGATTAAGACTTTTGGACACCTTGATTACTGAAAAGATTATAGTAAATCTAAATTTGTAAATTTTAAAAAAAGCTAAATTGTGAAATAAAAAATTACATGTACTCTGAAATTAAAATAGTTTCTTTTCAGATTGTCTGATTGCAAGATTCTGAAGAAGTTCATCTAAGGTGAATGTTTTTCAGTTTGGGGTGCCTCCGCTCTGTTTATATCCTAGCACCTGCTGGAATGATTCATAGGACTTTCAGTGCTAATTCCACGTGAACTGCTAAAGTGC